CCGATCAGAAACACAGCCAGCCACTGACACACAGGTGACAGACCTCCACCTTTGGCTGCTGCTACTGTCTGGCTGAGGTTGGACATAAGGGAGGGGGTGAGGTACTAGGGATTGAACCCAGGGCCTTTGCACTGAGCTATATCCCTGGCCCTTTTAGGTTTTTTGTTTGTTTGTTTGTTTGGGAGAGAGTCTTGCTAAGTTGCCCAGGTTGAGCTCAAACTTGCAATCTTCCTGTCTCAGCTTCCTAGAATGCTGGGATTATAAGTGTGTGCCATCAGCCCCAGCTGCGATGGACTCATTCTTGGGAAGAGAAGTTGGAGCCCTGGAACTCCGATGCTAGGGTACCTTAGCAACAGCCGGGCTTCCTTCCCTTCTTTATTCCTTCATTCCTTCCCTCTTCCCCTACCTGGGCCGCTCCATGGCCTCTGGGAATTTATTCTACCAGAATTAAGCTTGCGATGGGGGTGTGGCCTTCCCACACCATTTCTGGATATCCCTGCCAGACAGTGCCTCTCCTGGACAGGCAACCAGCTGCTCTTGCTCCCTGCCCTACCCTGCCAAGGACCTGGGATGTCCCTGCCTGCTTTCCATCCCCTCTCTGGGGATGCAGGGACCTCTCACAGAGCCCCCTCCCAGGTGCTGGGAGGCATGCACCACCACACCCAGCTTTCTGGGCAGGGACACCCTGGGGCCCCTCCTGGCCCCCATAGACAGACTCAGAGCACTCTGGTGAAGGCATGGGCTTCTCTCTTGGAGCCGCCTTTCCGCCAGCTCTTGCAGCCCCTCCTCCTGCCTGCCCAGGAAAGGCTGTGAATTGGGCCTGCTGAGTCCCCGTCTCCTCTGCTCTCTTGGCCCCAGCCAGAGAGGGGAGTGGAGTTTTGCAGCCTGATGCAAAACCTGGCAAGGCCCAGCTCTTATCAAAGCTCCCCCCAGCCCCCTTCCTGCTGTGTGGCTCACCCACCTTCCCTAGGGGCAGCAGAACTGGGCAGCCATCCATGTAGGGGCCCTGCTGGTCGGGCCTGGCTGGAGGCCGTGTGAGGGGAAAGCCTGCACTATCGCCTATGGAGGCGGCCCTTTGCCAAGTCCTGAAGGAGGCCAGCAGAAGGACCCCGAGGGGAAGCAGGGAGGGAAGGGGTGCCTGCTTCCAGTAGCTTGCGGGCCTGAGCCTTCCTCCTTCCCTAGCCTTCTGTGTCACCCTGAACTGTTCCCTCTCCTGCATTAGCACACAGCTGCGAGGGGCTGGCGCTAAGGGCCTGGGAGTTGATAGGAGAGACTGTGGAGAGTTCTGCCCATAGCACACATCCCGCTTGTGGGCTTCCTGCTCGATGCTCCCAGCATAGGTTCTGGGCACACACTGTAGTGTGCACGTGTAGTATGTGGCCGAGCACAAGTTCTCAGTGTGTGCACATGGGCCGCACACCCATGCAGCGGCTGTGGTCTCTTCTTCCTTTTCCTTTCTCTTCATCCTGTCTCTCTCTCTGTCTCTCTCTCTGTCTCTCTCTCTGTCTCTCTCTGTCTCTCTCTCTCTCTCTCTCTCTCTCTCTCTCACTTTATCTTGTTATTTTGGGGGGGCAGGGTTGGTTTTTTGAATCAGGCTCTAGTCTCATTATGTACCACAGGGTGGCTTTTGAGCTCACTCTAGCCCAGGCTGGCTCTGCCTCAGCCTCCTGAGTGCTGGGATCACAGGCGTGCACTACCACACCTGGCCCTCTTCATATTTTCCACCAACCTGGAGTGATTAAACATCACGCATTGGGCTAAATGCCTTGGGAAAGTCATTCATTCATTCACTCACTGGACAAGTAACCACAGAGTAGCTGCTGTGTGTGGAGCGCCATGGGCACACAAAGGTGAAGGGACTTTCCCATGGATGAGAGGCACTGTCCATCCAGGGGGCTGGGGAAACGAACAGGATGCGGAGGGAAGTAGGGGTGGGGGTGGCATCGACATGCAGCTGGTGGTCAGGAGGGACTGGAGCTGAGAGGCCCTGGAGAGGAGAGTAGGGTGGGCTGGGTGGGGCTGCCATCGCCTGGGGAGAGCGTTCAGTGGAGGACAAGTGTGGGGCCCACGTGGGGTCCCAAAGAGGAGGTGGAGGCCAGCGGTGGTGGCCGTGAAGCAGCCACCCAGCACTGGGGGCCATTGCTGCAGAGCAGGCACAAGCCAGATGGAGAGAGAGGGCCAGAGGCTGGGGCAGAGGGGAGAGAGGAGGACGATGCCTTTGAGAGCCATGTGGTGGCCAGTGAGGACATGTCCCAGCCCATCCTTGGGTGCTGGGGGCAGGACCAGGCACTGCTCCCTAAAGTGACGACAGCATGTGCCAGGGCCTGGTGTGCACGGTGGCTCCTGCGCCTGCCTCTGCTGTTCGCTCCTGGCCTGCAGAGCTGGGCCAGAGCTACCACGCACATGGTGCCCTGCAGCATGGCCTCCGTTGGCACAGCAGGAAGGGAGGAGGTAGAGACAGCAGGCCAGGCAGGCAGGGCTCCCTCTGCTCCGGGACCTGAGGGTGATGGACATGTGTTCCTCCGGTGTCACAGATGTCACAGTGGGCTCCTTGCACAGCCTCTGGTGGGGGAGGTTCTGGCAGGGTCTTTGCCAAGTGATCCAGCCTGGGCCCTGTCCCCCTCCCTCATGACCCTGTGGCCTCGTGGCATCTGTGTTCTTCTCCCACTTCCGGACTTGGGGACCTGCCACATCCCTCTGGAGTCTGAAGACCCCCTCTCCTGCCTGCCACCTGCCTCTTGGGCTCTGAAGCAAAACAGAAGCACCCTGCCTGGGACAGATCCCAGCCAACAGCCCGCCTTGTTTTGTGCCAGCCAGTTTTCAGCCTCTATGCTTCCTTTCAGGGAAATGTGGGGAAATGATCTTAGGAGCACTGTACTGTTCTGGGGTGAGGAGGCTGGGACAGCAACTCAAAAATAGAAAGTGTCCGGAAAGGACGGGAAGAAAGGTTGTCATCAAGGCAACCCAAGTCTTCAACCTCAAAGTTATTAGAAGGGAGAAGGCAGCTGGGCCACACCCCCTCCCCACCCTGCACAGGCTTGCTCTCTCTCTATTTAACCAAAACTTCACGTGCAGCACATATGTTCCTTGCAGCAACTTTATGTGGTAGGGGCTGCCCTTTTCGTGCTACAGGGAAGAAACCGAGGACCAGAGAGGTTAAGATAGTTACATAGGGTTGTACATTATGGCAGGGACTCAGGAAGGACTAGAATCCTGGACTTCTGACGCCAGTGCCTTTGATTTCCCACACATCATCAGTCACTGGCGACCCTCACCCAGGAGCTGGGAGGGCAGAACGCCAGGGTCTTAGCACCTCACACCCTGGGGATTGCTAAGTCTCACCCTCGGAATGAGACAGGCCAAAAGGGGTGCACGGGGAATGGGGCCCATCGGGCCTTTCACACTCAGACCCAAGTAGGGCAGGTGCCACTCTTGGTGTGGGAAAAGGAATGGACAAACCACCAGCTGGAAAGCTCCCACCCGTGTGCTATAAGGCTCCCTGGGCACCAAGAGGCTTGAAAGACCCAGGCTCCAGGGGGTCAGCTGCTTGCTGCTGGAGGAAGCTCAGGCAGGTGCCTTAGCCTCTCCCAACCTCAATCTCCTTGTCTGTGAAATGGGTCCACTGCTACCCCTAGGGCTTTAGCATGGCACCACTCAGTAAATGCCAGCACTGGTCTCACATCCAGACTGCATGTCCTACAAGGGCACTGACCATGCCTGCTCATTCTCTGCTACATCCTAGTGCCTAGGCCAGAGGCTCTCAAAAAACACTTGTGTGACACATGCACGGCAAAAGGCCCAGGAGGTGAGAAGTGGGCCCTTCTGTTCTGCTTCATGCCGGCCTGTGGGCTTTATGTGGTAGGGACTGGGCCTCGTCCTTTCTGGGCTCCTCTGTCTCTACGCACACTCAGGAAGCTCCTCTAGCTCTGGGGAGGCCACTTAATAAACCATTGCATGGATGCCCACTTTTTTTTTTTTTTTTTTTTTTTTTT